TCTCAAATGCTCATCTCATTTTCTCAAAACGATTCAAGTATGAGACTTAATTGTATCTAAAAGCGGCAGACGGGTACAAACTGAGTATGTTCCAGTAATTGTTCTGGAATACAGAGTATCCAACAATCAGAATTTTAAATACACACTGCTTGAGAAGTATTGATTCAAGATAGTGTTTAGACTGAGAGAAACAGGCAGTCAACAATGTGCAAGTCGGTTACTCTTTCTTTTCTGGAAATGGGGTTGTAAATAAGTGTTGAAGTATGTGACAGGAGATGTGATACGATCAGCGCATCAGCCCTGTATAGACTGAAAGACATGTCGAAAAGATATTTTGATACGGTGACGAACTATGATGGATATGACGGCAGTCGCCGATTACCATTCCAGCAACCCTCATCGTCTGGTGCCCTTTACCACTCCATGAATCGCGCTGACAGTTTTTCAAAAAACACTGAGTACATTGAAATTGTACTTCGTTTCCCTGTGTTTCTTCGTGGAGTTCTCTGGCGCACTCTCATTAGAGAGGTTTTTATTACAAAAAGAAAGAATTTCTGAGAAAAAATACCTCTTAGATGTCGACTATAGGTATCAGTTCATTATTAGAATGTTAAAGGTATTTCTATATGAATAATTGGCCAAACATTGTCCCTTCACTCCCAATTGAAGATTACCAAAATATTATCAGTATGTTATTATACTATATCAGAACATGACCTCTTATTCTGAGGAATTCCAATTGTTATTGTTATTTTGCGCTAACTTTTGAACAAATTCGACTAGTTTCATGGTAAGCTGCCGATGGTACGCTGCACGAAATGTCTTCCAATGATGTTAAACATCGTACAGACATCAATACATCGCTACTTATCAACATAATAAACCATTAACTTAATCTTTCAAGTAAAAGAAGACTCTAAAGTATTCGATGCATTCATGTTTCGATCACTACTGGCATAAGAGAACCACCTTTAGTTGAGTATTTGGCAGTGGCTAAAGCTTTTTCATGGATTTTCGTACAAATCTCAACGTAATCTAGAAAAGTTAAGTTTTTGAACAAATGTTTATGGAACGCACGCTTTCAGTAAAACGAATGAATCGCTCACTCAGAAAGTAAAATTCGCTCATTGCAAAAGAAGATAATGGATTGTTCGGACCACAGTAACTTCACCGACCGCATTGGCTTTAACGTCAACCTTGACAAGATTATTTCATTGATTCCATCGGACCTTACTGACTTATAATCAAGGAAAGATAGCCAATTTATGTTGAAGCTCTAGTCTAATTGAGTCAAATCGGCTAGATTTGAAAAGGAAACCGAATGGAATTGGTTCACATTAGGATTTTACGGTTCGTCTCGGGATCTAGCCAGTCTTCACAAAACTTCCCAAAATACAAGTGACAATAGAGCATGGTCAAGGTTTTATGAAATTTTAATCTCATGAAAAGTGGAAAGAGAAGCTCAAGAGCAAACACCTTCATTACAAACCTTGATTGAAATAAAACTCTTCCGTTAGACATGAATAGAGCCACGGTCGTTGTTTATTCGATGATTTTTGTAATATTTCTTTTCCAACTTGCCTCATCATCCCATGAAACTCTAACTCTGATGTTGTCAAATGATTTAACAGCACCGATGTAAAGAAACTATTTCCACCTGGTTTACCAGCGAAAGATACTGTGCCAGGATCCGATGAAAATATCAAAGCAAATTGTGATTCATTTGGTATACGAATATGTGACGTTAACGCTTTACCAAATGCTGGTGTAAGATATAGTTCTTCATTAGAAGCTTTCGTTTTCCAAGCATCATTGGCCTCATCAGCTCGGCAAGCGTCCAAAATAATAATGTGTAAAAGATTATTCCCAGAACAATTCAGAACCTTCAACATGGTATCCAAACTTATGCAATCAAATTCAGGATCATACAATGTTTCAATTGGCACTAAATAGTTCTCCCTCTGAAAGTAATAAGTGAGATAGATAGAAGTATCGAAGGGTGTAGGTATGGATGTGGATGTGAATGAAGAGAACGATCACGCCCACATCCTCTGGTAGTCAATAGTCATCTTCAACTACACTTTCTTGATGAGCAAAGTTGCTTGGTGTAGGTTGTCGATGCGAGAAGCGATAGTCCTTTCAACTCATCGAAGGTCTAGGATCCATTGGGAGACGTCTCTGCAATGGACTGCTTGTCCTTGGTGTAATAGAGACTACTGTCGTCTGTCTAGTCATTGAGAATAGAAGAATTGAATTAGTAACTGCTATTTAGTCATCATTTTCGCAAAGCATGGTGCATGCCAATCGAAATATTGCGCATGTGTATGCAGAATTCACTCATGATGACACATATTTTTTCTCGATGAAATGCTTCTATACTCTTTGTAGAGTTAGATCTAGCTAATATTGACAAATGCAGTGAGACTTACAGTGGATTTTCTATAATCAATAAATTTATTGACAACATTTGGGAAAATAAAATGTCTTCTGTGCTCAAAATTTCTTTTGTATATTGTGGAGAAGATATGGCATCAAGGCTAAATTTGAAAAGAACTCGAGAAATCCTATTTGCAAAGGATACTAATGAAACCACCTGTAATAATGATTCGTCGAATTCTGATATTAATTCGTTTTCAAAAAAAAAAGAATTTGATAACGCTTCTATCAATGAATACATATCGAAATAACATTATTCAAGGGATTTTTAGATAAGAAAGCATGATATTTCGCAGTTCCCTATGTTTTAAGCAACAAATATTTGAATATTTTTGCAAATGTTCGAACATTTACTAGCATGTGTTGTACTCAGCATGTATGTGATTTTTCTATCATAGATCATGATCTGCCTTTTCTCAAGGCTTTTTAGAAACTCTCTTTGAAAAACATATGTTGATATAGGCCACTATACAACTATATAAGGGTGCATCGTATGATTATTATACTATTGGCAGAAACAACCAAAAGATTAAAGTATTCATATTAGAAATATGAATCCATCGTTCGATAGATTATTAACGATAGCCTAGACATATCATATTTTACTAACAGCTTACTCTAAATGAACTGAAAAAAGCAACTGAATATAGTAGCATCCTGGTATTAATAATATATTTTTAATATAAGACAATTGGAACTGCTCGAAAGGAAATTTTATAGCATTTCATAAGACGCCAAAAAGCTTTATTGAGTGGGTTGTATGACAAGGTGCAAAATAATTTCTACTTAAATAGATCTACAGAACAGGGTGCCGAAATACGCATGTTATATCAATAGTGATAATAATATTTACCCGTCAAAATATCCATGACAATCAATTTTTTAGTCTTTAATTATATTAAAACACCAACAGTAAACTTAGATTAGACCTCAAAGGACGAATCGAATAGTACATGCGTGATAGAAAAGTGATTTTTTCAGAAAGTTAGTAGAGAGATCTTCATTATACATCTATCAAGAGAAATAGGAGATATTGCCAAAATACACACTGAAATATAGCGAGATAATGAGAATATGATTTGTCGGCATATCTGCATAGAGTACTACAAAAATTATTTGGCTCGACTCTCCTAGAAACAGTACTTTGAGTGTAACTATTCTATATTAGTACTTAGATTTGTTAAGAATTTCGGGCAGATTAGCAGCCTTAGAAGTTTTACCATTCATTTTATTTTTTATTTTCTTTCGGACCAGTGACACAATAATTTTCACATGATTTTTGATTTTTCATAAGGACACTTCAAAATATAATTTTACATGAGTGATAAATTGGCTTGGCCTACTAGAAAAACAATGTCAGTTTGGTAGAAGTATAATGGAATTTTATACTTTTAGATCGTATACTAATCAATTTATTTAGTTTTAACAGAAGAATCTTAGCATTGAAGATGCAATTTATTCAGATCGTCCTACAGTCAACGTAATCGATGAATCTATTAATACTGTTCCAATACTAATTGAAGGTGATTCTCATGGAATATAGGAATGAATAGAAAACACCTTGAGCATCATTTCCTCAGGAGTTCTTTCAATGGTCCTGTCAGTTTAATCTTCTATAGAATTCTGTGTCCAATCTGTTAATTATTAGCTAATTGACGATTGAAAGCAGCTCCATATTCGATTATGTTGTCATTTACTAGATAAAGTCGGAAGGACCGATTTCATCTTGTATATTACATTATCACTAGTGGTATATCATATTTATATCATAATGATAAAAATATAATAGTGTATCCAAAAATTGCAGTCATACACAGGAATCCAAGAATAATAAAGATTTATCGAAACTACAGAGCAGACTGACAAATCGTGTCAATTTTTTTTCGTGGAATTCAGTTTAACCAAACCTATAACATTCGAATCTACTAAGTAAAAGTTAACTTGTCAATATCTATCTAGCAGAGGTTTTCAGCACAGCATGATAACGCAATAAAGTGTCAGTATTTTAATTCTTAGGTTTTCCAATGAAAATTCGAGATCAAAGAACATGTTGATAACCTACCAATTGTTCGCAAAAAATCATGTTGAATCATATCCAAAAATAAAATACCTTTCATATTTAAACCTATATGATTTCTTTTTGTTACTAAAGATGAAATACAAACTACATGGAGTCAAATTCACTGGCGAAAAAAGGGTTATATGTGTTAGAACAAGTCATAATATGCTTTACAAAACTCGATTCGAAAAAACCACTTCTGTAATCTGATCTAATCGAAGACACAAGTGCATCGTGGCTCTGGAGTAGTAGCTTGAAGAGCTATGCTAGAACTAGTGTTTGACTATTGGCCTAAAGAGCGATCGAAAAATCATTCTTACTATTCCTTGTGAACATAGTGACATATGCATAGTTAGATAGTTCTATAACCAATTTACTTTGGGCATGAAAACCCTATATCAAATCTAGAAACGTTTTTTACTTTACCAGTCCTTTAGTTGCTCATACGGATCCAATGGCAACTGTAGGTGGCTATGAAATAATGATTGAGGAGAGCCGTGAAGGATTAACTCAGAGTTACCTTCGACATGTGAACACAAAAGTAAAACAAAACTTCATGTAAATTAAGCAAATTTTCCTAGGAACTCAAAGACAGTATCGGAATTTTAGCTTTAAATGCAGGATATGTTGCTCTGTTCAAGAGCTTTGGAACTTACAAACTTCGACGAATATCGAGAAAGACTATCATCTTTAAAACCTAATATTACTGAGAACTATGCTCACAAATGGCAGAATTACAAACTTTTGTGTAGATATTATGAAGAATAGCTCCGTCAAATTATACCAAAGCAAGACCTCTCTACGATGCTTATCACAGGTAGTCTGTCAAATCCAACTTTTTGAATATAGTGTTTTTTGTTATATGACTAGGGAAAATATCAGAAATTCGCTAACATTCCTGTCAGAATGGAGTTTATTGAAGAAAATTTTTCTAGCGACTGCCGAAGTTTTTGAATAAACGCAACAACTGCTTCGTAGTTCTTACCTGTACTTCCATCCCATGTCCAGAAAAATATATCACTATACAATCATTATTCATAATTCTTGCACGAAAGTCTCTGATAGCACACTCCATTTGACGTTTATTCGAATTATGATATTTCATGCAGTCAAATCCTAGAGAATAACACAAACAGTTTCAAAAACTTTGTCCTTCATTAAAGTGCCAATCATAAAGACTCACCCAAGTTAGTTAATGCAACTGTCATATCGTTTGCATCCTTAATACAACTTTGTAATTTGTATTTACCACTGTAATCATCATTTCCGAAGACCAAAGCTAGTCGGCGTCGATGCATATCAAGTCTTTCGCTTAATCTGAAACACCAATAAGGAAATCCTATCGGTTTTTGCTTATAGTCATCATCTTGCAGCAAAACTAGTTACATAATGAATGCTCATTGTTACGCTTCTGAGGAAAGACCCGAAAAAACACACAGCAACTAAAACATTAGTTATATCGCATAGATTCTTCTAAAAAGCATAATATTTAATTCTGAGAACCCGCTTTGCTAACTGTTACAGTGATGTCGCACTGTTACAACTCGCCATCTATCTTCATTTTTATTTTCTTTTTTCATTTCGTTTTCTATTTCTTTCTTCGTGATACATCTAGTCTTCTCTTTTACTATCCATACATCTAGTCCCTGTTCTCTTTCTTTTCTTTTCTCTCTCTCTCTTCTTTTTTCTTTTTTTGTCACTCACTATATATGTACGTGTTTTCCATTATTTAAAAACAGATAAAATAAAAGACGGTGTGCAAGTGTACGTATACACACACACATATACATACTTTTTTCCGTTAAAGAAAAGAGAACGAACTTAGCGTTGATCCAAAAGGACAACCGCTAACATTTGGCGACCCTGGACAAAACGAAAATCAACAACAACAACAATTTATTTTTATTTTTTATTTTTATTTTAAAATTAATTAAAACATATAAGAGCCTCTAATTTAAAAAAAGAGACTCGAAAACCAATTGCATAAGAGCCTTGTTATATAGACTCGGGTGAAATAATTTTTATTAATTATTAATTCAACCATTAGGTAAAACAACGTCTATTTTTTTTCATAATTAATAAAATAAGGGATACTTTTCAGTAAATCGTTTCTAATGTTTTAAACATAAAATTGGGTTGTACGTTCCCGAAAGAATTTTTTAACAAGTTTAATCTAAAAAAAAATATATATATATATATATATAAACAGAAAAACGAAAACAATGATCAATAGTTTTCTTTTATACAACTAAACAGAAATCCTAATATAGAATTTCGTACTTTTCTTTTATACAATAAACTATAATCAGAGATTCTAAAAAAGAATTTCGTTCATTCTTTTCAATTACATAAATCAATATAGTTAGAAATTCTAAAAAGAAAAAAAAAAGAATTTCATTCAAGTATTCGTTATTCGTACATTGATTCATTTTTACTCGATTATTGAATTGGTTCCAATTATATATATATACTTGTTCTTACATATAATCATTTCACAACGGCTTTCGGAACAAGGCTTCAAGTTAAGAAAAATAATAGCAAATTATTTCCATATACTATTATTACACATTCAAAGTCTCGTACATTTCTACATACTGATTCAATCGAAATGGAAACATCAGAAATTGAAATACGTAAAATGGTTGATCAAACATTATTAGCAAAAGCTCGTAAAGCACGATTCGATGATCTACCAAATTTTTCTGGACATCCTTCTGAGGATGTCGAACGGTTTTTAAAAAGCATTAAAAATATAACCAAAGCAACTGATGAATCAAATAATCATGAAATTTTAGAAATTATTCGTGGTAAACTAATTCAATCAGCTGGAACATGGTTCGATAATAATGAACCTAATTTCAAAAAATGGTCGGATTTCGAAACTGCATTTCGAAATCGATATTTTTCTACAACATCAACTCACAAGAAATTTGATACATTAAAACAACGTAAACAATTACCGGATGAACCGATTACGTCTTTTTTCGACGACATTATTAATTTATGCCGAGAAATTGATTCAAATATGTCAGAAAAAATTATAATTCAATATTTAATGAGTGGAATCAATTCTGATTTTCGGAAGGAATTATTAAGACATGAATCATCTATCAATACATTAAATGAATTTTTAAAATATGCAAAAATTGAACAAGATTTACATGATACATTCGGTAGTCTATCACTTGATTCACAACAACGTCATTTTAATCATAATCACCCATCAATTCCATCATTAACTGCTGCAGTTAATCAACCAAAACAGTATTATAATACAATGAAGTACAACAATCCTGTTTCACACTCAACACAATTACAGAGCTCCGTTTCTCAGCGGAACTCGATTCCAACACTTGGAAATCGAACATTCATGGCACCGGATAGAAAACAAATTCGAAATTATCCACCACAATCGATATCACAGAAGAAACTAAGCACTAGTCAACCACTATCACAACATCAATTCAACGACTGTAAAGTTTGTGGTCGTAACAATCATCGAACACTTGATTGTTATTATAAACGTACAACCGGATGCTTTAATTGTGGTCAAAACCACAATGTCCGTGATTGTACATTACCTCCAAATTTTCAATAGCTGGGTCACATGATGGCGGTGTTCCCAGTAAATTTATAAAGCCATCAACAATAACATCATTTCCTGTTTACATCAAGATTCGTGTTAATGATCAACCAACTGAAGCAATTGTTGATACAGGTTCCGCCATCTCAATCATTCATTTAAATTTTCTTAAAACTATTCATCACAAAAATTTTATTTATAAAAATCATACATGTCAAACAGCAAATTCAACATCACTTAATATAATCGGCCAAATTAAATTAGAAATAAAAATCAAATCGATAACAACTTATGTTGTTGCTTGTGTTGCAACAAATTTAATTACATCAATATTATTAGGAAATGATTGGATTAATTCGAATCATGTTCACCTTTATGGTGACCAGAAAAAATTAACTATTCCTGATCAACATGATCAATTAATTTCAATTCCATATGTGGAGCCGACATGCATTAATTATCCAGCATTATTAATTCGACAAATTACTCTTCCACCATATTCACAACAATTAGTTGATATAATATGTCAAATTAACAATGCACACAATCTTATATTTGAACCTTATGAACGTCATATATCAAAATTTATTTTCATGCCACATACATTATTAAATATCAATAAAAATCAAGCCAAAGTATTACTAATAAATGCATAAAATCGACAACAAACATTATCAAAAAATACACGAATCGGAACCATCTCCCGTGATGCAACATATACTATACATGCAACTACACAAATTCCAACAAAAAATAATTCTATTTTAAACGAACGTCATCAAACATCAACTCGACATTACAACAATTTAAAATCCAGAGCTGTCTTACGTAAAAGGGACAACTCGAATCAAGAAAAATTAAACATTATTTGTCATCATTGCAACGAACATTTTTTATCTGGAAATGATTTACAAAAACACTTACGAACAGAATGTTATTCCGAACAGATTCGAAAACAAATATTCGAATCGACTAAACATATAGAAAATCCAAAACATCGATTAGAAATTCAAGATATTTTATGGCGAAATAAAATATTATTTGATCCTACATCATCAATTATTAATATTCCTCCACAATCAGCAATTAAAACTGCTGATCATCCACCTATCTATTCAAAACAATATCCAGCATCATCTAAAGATCAAGAAATTAAATTTCAAGAAACACAAAAATTATTAGAACGTGGTCAAATTGAAGAATCAACTTCACCATGGTCATCACCGATCGTTCTTGTTAAGAAAAAAGACAAAACTATGCGATTTTGTATTGATTATCGACGATTAAATGCTATTACAATTAAAGATGCATTTCCATTACCTCGTATTGATGAAATTTTTGATCAATTATCTGATGCAACATATTACACAAAATTCGATTTTAAATCTGGTTATTTCCAAGTACCTCTATCTAAAGAGGACCGACCTAAAACTGCATTCTCAACTCGTGATAAGCATTATCAATTTACAGTTCTTCCACAAGGAATAACAAATGGTCCAGCAACATTTCAACGTGTTATTAACCATATATTTTGGTCCTACACGATGGAAATATGTATTAGCATATATTGATGATGTAATTATATACTCAAAAACATTCGAAGAACATTTATCACATCTCAATGAAATTTGTCAAATATTAAAAGAAGCTCGTTTTCGTCTCAATCCAGAAAAATGTGAAATTGCTCGAACACAAACTGATTATCTTGGACATCGTATACAAAATGGTGAAATTCGTCCAAGTCCTACCAATATACATGGTTTACTAAATACAAGATTACCACAAACGGCAGATGAAGCTTGTAAATTTGTTAAAGCAGCGGAATATTACAGAGAATTTATACCTAATTTTTCTCAAATCGCCGAACCACTTCGAAAATTTGTTCCAACTACACGAACTCAAAAAAAGAAAAGACAAAAAACTATTATTACATTAACAAGTGAAGAAATTAAAGCCTTCGAACAACTTAAAAAATTTCTTACAACTGATCTGGTATTACGACTTCCAAATAATAGATTCTCTTTTAAAGTACAAACTGATGCTTCGGATGAGGGAATCGCTGCAGTTTTATTACAAATTTATCCCGAAGGTGATAGACCGATTGCATATCTTTCCAAGAAATTTACACAAGCACAACGTAAATGGTCTCCTATGGAACAAGAATGTTATGCATTTATATGTGCATTAGATAAATGGCACAATTATTTAAGTGGAATTACATTTATTTGGGAAACTGATCATAAAGCATTAACACAATTAAATAAAAAAGCACAAGTTAATAAACGATGTGAAAGATGGAGATTAAAAATTTTAGAATATGATTTCAAGGTGAAATACATTCCTGGTTTAACAAATTCTATGCCTGATTATTTATCAAGATCTCCAGTTGACGATGCTGAAGAAGATCCTGATGAAACTATACATCTTATTTCAAAATCAACACAAACCGATATTTCAAATGTTAATAATCATTCATCTATTGTCGCAGCTGTTGAAACTCGTGCTATGAAATTACGAAACAAAACTTTAAATGACATTCCAACTACAACAAAATTAATACCAGATTCTCTAAACACTTCTGTTGAAGAGAATCGCACAATTCCATTTTCAATCGACGAATTAATTCAAGCTCAACAAAATGATAATTACGCAAAAAATATTATAAACAACATTGAGAAATATAAAAATTATATTATTAAAAATAATCTTTTAATGCATCGATCAAAGACTCCAGTCCCTTACGTACCACAAGGTGATTTCCGAAAAACAATTTTACAAATTTATCATGATACTGCAGCAAATGGTGCTCATTTCGGAAGAGATAAAACAATACATAAAATTAAACAACGTTATTTTTGGCCATCAATGTACAAAGATATTAATAATTATATTAAATCATGTATTCCATGTGCACAATTCAATCCTCGTCGACAAAAAAATCCTGGCACCTTAAGACCTATTAAACCTCCAGAAGGAGTATGGCAATTAGTATCAATGGATTTCCATGGACCTACTACTCCAACATCTCAACGTGGAAACAAATATATTATATCTCTTACCGATGTTTCATCAAAATTCGTCGTTACAAAGGCTGTACGTGATAATACAGCTCAAACAGCTATTAGATTTCTTAAAGAAGACATTATTTCAAAATTTGGAACTCCTCGTTGTATTCTTACTAACAACGGAACACATTTTACTTCAACGTTAATGGTTGAATTAATTAAACAAATTGGAGCTACACATTTATATTCAGCACCATATCATCCCCAAACTAACGGTCAAGTTGAAAGATATAATTCAACTATGGATGCAAAAATTGCAGCTTTATCAAATTTACGTAAAACCGATTGGGATGATCAATTATCATTTGTTACATTTAATTACAATACTTCAATTCATTCCTCAACAAAACAAATACCATTCGAAATGATGTACGGTCGATCACCTTTTCTACCATTCGATCATCAAGATACAAACGTTACCGTATCATATGATTCTGAACATGCGAAAAAACTTAGTCAATTTTTATCCAAATTAAACGAACAAGCAAAAATTCATATTATTAAAAATCAAGAACGATATAAACAACGTTATGATATAAATTGTTCTGATCCAACCTACAACATTGGTGAATTAGTTCTTTGTAAAACACTCAATATCCGTTATAAATTCGATGTTCGTTATGAAGGACCATATAGAATTATTCAAAAAATTACACCGAAAACATTTATTATTCAACACGTCAAAAAATCAACATTATATCGTCAAGTTATAACCGACGTGTTATTACCAATATTTGAACGAATTTATTAATTACAGGACCTCTACCAAAGAGATCCGTAATACCAATATGTCAAATTAAATGGAATAATTATTTATTAATCAATTAATCTAATTGGATTTAATTTAGCATGGCATGATCGGAGAGTGTGACTTTCCCCCACTCACTGATTATGAAGGGCTATTATATTTAAATTAGACCATATTTTTCTTATATACTAATTATTCTACTATACGAAATTCATCATTGAATACAATTATTATTCAATTATTCTTATCAGACTCTTAACCTAGGCACTGAGAATCGAAAAAGAGAAAGCTAGATTTCGTACTATATATATATATTAAAAAAAAAAAAAAAAATCTATTCCTTTATTTTCATATTCAACAAATTGGATTCATATAATTGGGACTACATTTTTATTTCCTACAAGAAATGATAATAAATAAATTACAGATCCACTATAAAAGTGAATCAATATCTATTATATTTTTTTATTTTATTATTATAGTCATGTTATCTGAAGAAGAATATCAAGATTCTATACGGAAATTCAACAACATACTATCAACTATTACTGGAAAACCACGTCAACATCTTCGTGCTATATTTCGGGAAAAAATCCATGAACATGAACTTGCATCTTGTTATCCATCATTTGAACTGTTAAATTATAAACATTTTTATATTAATTATAAAACTACTGAACAAACATTAATTCATCTTATTGAAGCAATAAATGATTCAGATTTCTTTACATTAGATACTGAATCAATATGCATTCCCAGAAAACCAAACGAACCAGCACTTATACAATTACAAATAATACAAAAAAATTTATTTTCGTATGTTATATTTGTTGAAGTTCGTCATTTACCGAACATGCATGAACGAACATTCATTTTAATTCAAGAATTATTTGTTGCATTATTTAATTCAAATAAAAATATTTATATTTGGGGTTCTATTGATGAATTAAAAAAATTTCTCAATTTTAATTTATTTTCATCTAGTCAAATTTATTTGTCAAATAATATTAACCTACAAGATGAATTTAAAATTTTTTGGAAGCAATACCATCCTCATAAACCAAAATTATCATCAACTAATGATAACATCCTATGCATATGTGAAACATGTTTAGGTATTCAACCAAATAATCCTTGGTCATTACAAAATGCCGTGGCATATCAACTCAATCAGTGGTTAGATAAACGTCATTCTCGATCACCATTCGATATAGGTCTTAATCCAACATTGGTTCATTTGAATTCCAAAGAACTTGCATATCGACAAACAATGACAACATACGCTGCCAATGATTGTTCATCAATGCATCAACTTATTATTAACATGAAATTAATCGAACAACAAGAACCAGCAAATGAATTATCTACTGAACCTGATTATCATATTTCAATGTATTCCGATTCATCAGACCCAAATGATTTAATTGTATCACCAAATGAAAATTTTAAAATCAATCAATCATCAAATTTAAATCAACAAAACAATCCTGATGTAGAAGAAATATCCTCTAATGATGATGAACCTGAACAACCATATCAACATATAAATATAAATAACCCGTCAAATAATGAATTTCAATATGAACGTGCAAACATATCCAATGAACAAAAACGGAAAATTCATAATCGTACATGTACTTTAAAACAAAGGAACAAATTATATAAACATGAAATTATAAGAAGAGACATCGATCGAAGATTTACAATTACATTAGTCAAGAAAATTCTTCGTGACGTTCTATAAATTTTGGTGCTTTAAATATTTCAACATCTTCTTTAACTAATCGTACATCATTGTATATTGGTATAAAAAATCCAACATTACTATCTAAATACGAACGTGAAACTAGAAATCTATTTTCTACTGATCATTACAATGAAATTCATTCACAACAACGTCGATCGAACTCAAATATTCATTATTCTCATCATCATCAACACCACAAATAAATCATAATCATGAATCATAATTTCAATTTTATTCTAGTATAAACAACATCATTGCAGATCATCTTATAAGATGATCGTTATATACTATAATTCTATTACTAAATTATTTCTACAAAAGCCATCTACTTATATTATTTATCTTATATGAATCATAATACATTGATCAACAAATACGAAACAACACACAATATGTCATGTCCATGCGATGATTCATTATGGATTAATTTTTTTTCCTATTGTCACGATATCTATCTAAACTAGTCGTTTTCTTCATTATTTTATATACTATTATATTTTTTTTTTCTCTGGAAAAAATTTTCTATTTTCTTTTGTTATTTTTCGTTACATTTGTATTTCTACGTTTATTATATGTAAACTTATGTATATAAAAAAAAAAAAAAAAAAAACAGAAGTTTTTCACATACGTCATATTTTAGTTTTTGTTATTTTGTTACTTTCTTTCTTTCTTCAGTTATTGTTTAACTATTTATATTGTTATGTTTATTTTGTTGTTTCATTTACTGTTATGATATTTATCGTTGTTAGTCCTCTCTGGGAAACAATGTTGATAGGACACATTTTTTTTGTCCAGTATGGGAGTATGTTACAGTGATGTCGCACTGTTACAACTCGCCATCTATCTTCATTTTTATTTTCTTTTTTCATTTCGTTTTCTATTTCTTTCTTCGTGATACATCTAGTCTTCTCTTTTACTATCCATACATCTAGTCCCTGTTCTCTTTCTTTTCTTTTCTCTCTCGCTCTTCTTTTTTCTTTTTTTGTCACTCACTATATATGTACGTGTTTTCCATTATTTAAAAACAGATAAAATAAAAGACGGTGTGCAAGTGTACGTATACACACACACACACACATATACATACTTTTTTCCGTTAAAGAAAAGAGAACGAACTTAGCGTTGATCCGAAAGGACAACCGCTAACACTAACTATAAGAGCATTTGGCATCCACCAAAGTCTCTTTTTTGAGTCTGGATGAGGCGTATTGTTGATATCTCGAAAACTATAGCTCTATCTGATTGAATATTTTTGATCTAATTAAACATTAAGAAGATTTAAAGCTGCTATACTGTAAACGAAAATAAAATAATAAATTTTTACGCTAAATACAATTTTTCATAAAACCATTGTAAAACCATTGAAAACAAATGAGTTTGAGCGTTTATCAAAGCAAGGGCGTCTGGAAATAAGAAGGCTTTATGACTAATATGTGACGATTTATCATCATGACAGTTAAAGAATAGTATTTATTATTCTACACATAAGAATGTGGAGTTTGGATGTGTGCAATGGTAGATATTGGTGTGAATGGCTATTAAATTGAGGGTGTGATTGAAGAGAAGACTCGCAGACTTACTCAGCGACACGCAAGCACTGGATTTTTTAACAAAAAACTTGGGTGTGGGTGTGGGTGTG